GATGGGGTTTTCCCGGGTTCCTAGGTTGCTGCATCTCACAACCATTCTTCTGGTGCTCCGTTACAAAAGCGCCTTGCCAAGTATCCCACGAAATCTCACGTCAGTCTCAATAGGATAGGCTTTGTGCACCATTTTACAGATGGGGAAAGTGAGGTTAAATCACCTGCCCAAAATCATGCAGCCTGAAAGAGGAAGCGAACCCTGGACCCCAGCTGGCTCCAGGCTTCCGCTACTAGCAGCGCCGCTCACACTGTCTTGCGCCCCGCCTCCGCGTCCCACCCCAGTGAGGGGCGCCCGGCCCGCCCCTGGAGAAGCGTGCCTCCGAGGCTAATCGCCAGCTGCCCCGCCTCCATTTGCACCGCTTGGAGACGCCCTGGAGAGCTAAGCTCAGACACAGCTCCAGGGCCGCGCCGCCGCCGATTGGCCCGTGGTAATTACGGGCACGCTCCGGGAGGGGGGAGGGGCAGAACGGCCCCCCGCAAGCATAAATTATGCAAATACCCGGGCGCCGCACGGGGCTGACCTGCCGCCTAGCTCCATTCACCCGGGCTGCCTCGGGGGCGGAGGTGGCCAGGGAGGGGGGCGCCTATTGTTGTGCCGGGTACTTAAAGGATCCTGAGGCCGGTCGTGTGCCACACTCGGTACTCACACGAGCTGATCTGATTGCTGGTGAGATCACTCGGGAGACCGGCTGGAGCGTGGCCCCTGCAGGCGAGGAGAAGAGGCCAAGTTTCCAGTGCGCCACTGCGCCCTTCCAGGCCTTCCTGCCCGTAGCGGGCGCAGAGTAAGCCCGGGCCGTTCCAAAAGTAAGTGCGCCCCAGCGGTCCTGTCCTCAGCCCCGGCTCCTGCCCTCTAAGCGCTCTCTTTATCTGTCCGTCGCTCCTGCCCTACGCAGAGATGCCAGCCCCTCTGGAGACCTGCCTTTCAGACCTCGACTGCCCCAGCAGCAGCAGTGACATGTCCGGCTTCCTCACCGACGAGGAGGACTGTGCCAGGTTCCAACCTTCAGCTTCCGCCTCGGGGCCACCTGTGCCGGCCCTCAGGGGCGCACCAGGGATTCCCGGGGTGTCCGATACTCCCCGGGCACAGGACAACGAGCAGGAGCGGCGGGGGCGCAGGGGCCGCGCACGAGTGCGCTCCGAGGCGCTGCTGCACTCGCTTCGCAGGAGCCGACGTGTCAAGGCCAACGACCGCGAGCGCAACCGCATGCACAACTTGAACGCGGCGCTAGACGCGCTGCGCAGCGTGCTGCCCTCCTTCCCCGACGACACTAAGCTCACCAAGATCGAGACGCTGCGCTTCGCCTACAACTACATCTGGGCTCTGGCCGAGACTCTGCGCCTGGCAGACCAGGGGCTGCCCGGGGGCGGTGCCCGGGAGCGCCTCCTGCCGCCGCAGTGCGCCCCCTGCCTGCCCGGGCCCCCGAGCCCC